TCTCGATCGAGATAATTATGGGTAGGTGGTCTGATGCGAGAGTTAGCATAGGTCGCCAGGTTATGCTATTTATCAGACCACCGCTAGCGATTGTAATATCGGGCGAGCTACTACAAGTGCCCATAACTCTGGTGGGGGCTTCGTCATTCATTGTGCAGAATGTCGAATCGTCAATCTGTTCCGCCAGCTCCATCCTCCTACGGCCATTTGACAGACAGGAATACCAAAGATCGTGGTGCGCGTTAAAGTCGCCTAGAACTAAACGGTTTTCACCACGAAGTAGCGCACCTACATATATTCGGGTGATATCCTGTAGGGCAACATGTAACGGGGGATGTATATATTAAATATTTCGAGCTCGACATCGCCTGACCGGACAGCTATGCCCTGACATTCTAGGGTAGCGTCCCTGCAGTCGATGTCTTCATCGATTATACGATACTGCACGGTGTTGTGCAATATGAAGACTAGGCCACCACCATTATCTCGCTCGCGATCTTTACGTATAACGTTGAAACCTGCACAACTAAGAAGATCTGAGCGGCTGTTTAGCTTGGTTTCTTGGACCGCAGCTATCGATACGCGCTCCCGATTCATAAGTGCAATTATCTCGTCGATCTTGCTCTGGAGTCTGTTGCAGTTGAATTGAAGTAGCCGGGTTTGTCGCGGGTGTCCGTGGGTGATCCTGGGGGGTGAGGGAGGGACGCGTGGGTGGTATTTATTGCAGCTGCAGAACCCGCCGGGGCGGTTGTCGCACTAGGGTCTTTGTTGGCGACGCCACTGTAGTGTGTTGCGGGGGCAGACTCCTGCAGCATGGGGCAACGTACGACTCACTCCACTCACGTGTGGTGGGCAGGCCGGAACACGCCGGGAAGTGACACCAGTCAGCACAAGAGTTGCACTTGACTGATGTGACGTTCCGACGTATGGCGGTCTGACACACGAAACCGATTGTGCGAGGAACCAAGAGTTGCTGATTGGTTCTCGCACGTGGATTGGAGCAGGATGAAGGTTGGGGGGGGGACAAGTCAGATTGGGAGCTATTGCCTAGTTGAGCTCCGGGGGACCATGGGGTCCTCTGTTGGCCACTCGAGATGGGTGGCGGCGCAGCGCACGAACTATGTGCTGATTGCACAGCCGTAGAGGCTAGCGTCGCAGTATTGCGTAAGCAACATGGGGCCACGTAACGCGTGGTCCACTCCCTATGGGTCTTAAGGCCTGAGCAGGTCGTAAGATGGCTCCATTCATTGCATGTGTTGCACCTACCCGAGGTGGAGTTTGGATGGGGCCTTTTCTCGCAAACGCAGCGGAAGAATTCCTCCGGGCCCGGGTTGGACTCAATGCCACCACGAGTCAGAAGAATACGGAGCAACCCTGCTGCTAGGCGTTGCTCCAGTGACGACACACACAAATCAACACTCACCGATCCAAACGGGGTTAGATCGCCGAAAAAACAGCCTTTGGTTTTTTGGATTGAATTTTTTTGGATGAAATCCGAGTCAATTCCGGTAACGTAGAACCTGTCGTGGGAATTGGATAGATAAGATAAGATAAGATAAAGAATGAGGATTGCACCGCGACCTAGGGTCTATTGTGCCCTCTACTAACTCACAGCGTCTCACTTAGCCCCAGCAGATTGATGAATTCCAATATTCTGCTAGGTGCTAATGAGGTGATGTGATCCCTATTTAGAAACATGGATCCAAGGGCCTTAATCCTGCGTCTGCAGATTGCTGGGC